TATATATATATATATACATTTTAACAATGATTTATAATAAAACTGCATGTATTTCCTTTTTGAATGTAGAATATATTTTCACAGTAAATTATATCATTCATACTTTGTACTTCAAAAAACACAATTCTTTATTGTATTTTACAGTAAAATTCAATTTATTGTCTGTTAAATCTAATTTTTCACAAACATTTTGATTTAACAGTCTTTTGTATTTTGCACATAGTGGGGTGACTGAGGTAGCCTATTGAGTAAATAGATGCGTGGGTACAGCATTGATTAAACCTTGTTTCATAAACAGAGAGGTGAAGAGCATCTTACGTGAACCCAGGCATTATTCCAAGAGGTTTTCCAGAGGGGGAAAAATACATTCTAAAGCCTGCTGTTTACTGATTTATTCAGTTACATAATCACTTCTTAATTATCATCCTAGATTAGCCACAAACACGTTCTGGCACCATTTTAGTTTGTGCTTTTTCACATTTTGGACCCTTTAATAGAGCACATGAAAAACACTTGATATCCTTCTTTTACTAATCTACCAAGTTGCCCAATCTCAGACCAGTTGGCAAAGTGAGTCTATTCACTGTGCTAAATCATTTACATCCAGTCAAGTAGATGGTGTTCATATGCTCATGGAGTGCTGGTCTGTGTACAGAACATAATAGTATTCTGTAGTACCTGCTGATTTTCTGTAATATTCATCTCTGCAAGAGTGAAATGTGTGAAACTGACTCAGTTTGAAATGAAGAAGAAAATATGATGAATGGAATGGTTTGCCTCTGCTACCAAATTGATCTCTCGGTTAGAACAACCATGCAATGAAGAATTCAAAGAATGCCAGTAAGCATAAAGCACATGAGAAATACTTTTATGTGGAAAAATAAAAGTAACTGAAAATGTCTATGGGAGATTTTTCTCCCCCTGGGACTTCTTGCGTGGAGAGGCGTGACCCTGAGAGCATTTTCTTGACATTTCCATTGAGGAAGAGGCAGACACTACAGACTGCCCTTTTGTTATTTAACAGAGCCTGTTTTTAGGGGCTTGTAGAACAGGGGGCAGTGTTTCACAACAGCTTTCAACAAGAACATTTGAAACCATTGAGAACAAGTAGAACAGATAATGAGCCGTATTAATGTGACAATTAGTTATATTGATCAAAAATGTTTCTGGCATTGATGCAAGGTTCAGCTAGAATTAAAAATATGGCAACAGATAGCAGAGGCTGTCGGCCATGTTGTCTATCTCCATGCCAGATGCTGGGCTCTGACAGCAACATTTAGTATCTGGTTTTAGTGCACAGACTGAAAATATACCCATGTATTGTATGAGAGGCAAGCAAATAAAAGTCTCTTATTTTATGTTCTTTCTTTGGAAGTAATGAACTCAGCCTATTGCAAAAAAAAAAACAGCAGATTTTAATACAGCACATTATGGTCTAAATATATTTGGTAGCAGATGGTGGAATAGGCATTAGTAATGTTGAACACAAGTCGTCTCAGAAAATTGGTGTCTCAGAAATGTCACCACAGTGATTTGGTTATAACTGTACAGTTCACAATAGATTTATATTTAAGCACTACAGTGAAAGTATAACAAGGGTCACAGTGTTATGTAAGACTATATACCTTTATATCTCTGTGTATCGTACATGACATCTAACTCATTTTGGAACACCAATTTTAACAGTCATTTTTGAATCTTTCAAGACATTTCTAGTTTTCTGTTTACCTTGCTGTCCACTACGTGATTCTGTTTAATTTAGAGGACAGGGGAGAGACATAAGGGGCTTTAGACCATGACTAATGTTATGGATCATAACCATGGGCAAACTTAAATAAATGCTGTCTCAAAAATGTGCATGCTTCAGCAAGTGCAGGCCCAGCTGGAGAATCGTTCAGACATTTTACAACCATGTTAAACCCAAAACTAATATGCACATTTCTCAAGTTGCATTGGAGGAATTTTGAATACAAAATAAAGTATAATTACTATTTTATTTAAAACTATAATTATAAAAATTATTTAATAGCATTATAAAAACAACAACAAATATGTCATTTAAGAAAAAATGCAACATGATGGTTTTAAATGTTATTTACATCAGTGACATTTGACATTAGTGCAGATTTTCAGTGAACAACTACTGAAATTTCACGTTGTTTCTTACACAAATCCTCAGATGACTTGAAACGCAGTCTACTAATCATATTGACTACTTCAGTGGTGCTTTTGTGTCCTTTTTGGAGCTTAACAGGTATAGTCACTATGAGATAAAACTACATAATTGTCTTAAAAAAACCTTTTACACCGTTTAAAAAAGTTCTCGTATTAATTTATTATTTTACAGTAGTAACTTTTTGGTGGTAGTAAACAGTAAATTTTTAGAAATTGTATCAAATTCAAAAATTTGCATTCAAGTTGCATTGGAGGAATTTTGAATACAAAATAAAGTATAATTACTATTTTATTTAAAACTATAATTATAAAAATTATTTAATAGCATTATAAAAACAACAACAAATATATGTCATTTAAGAAAAAATGCAACATGATGGTTTTAAATGTTATTTACATCAGTGACATTTGACATTAGTGCAGATTTTCAGTGAACAACTACTGAAATTTCACGTTGTTTCTTACACAAATCCTCAGATGACTTGAAACGCAGTCTACTAATCATATTGACTACTTCAGTGGTGCTTTTGTGTCCTTTTTGGAGCTTAACAGGTATAGTCACTATGAGATAAAACTACATAATTGTCTTAAAAAAACCTTTTACACCGTTTAAAAAAGTTCTCGTATTAATTTATTATTTTACAGTAGTAACTTTTTGGTGGTAGTAAACAGTAAATTTTTAGAAATTGTATCAAATTCAAAAATTTGCAAATATCTTGCAGTATTTAAAGATGCATTTATATTCTGGGATTTTCATATTTCTGACATGGTACATTACAACTGCTATGTTCTATTTGTGAATAGAGAATAAAGTCTCCATCATGCAACTGTACTTAACTTTAGGCTGAATTTGACTTAAACTGAACTAATTTCAGGTAGTGTGCAGAGAGATTTGACAGATGTAGAAAAATCTAAAGAAAAAAATCCTTAAAGGCACAATATGTAAGATTTTTTTTATTAAAATATCCAAAAATCACTAGAACAGTGTTATATATTTTGCTGACTTGTGTACTTGCATTATCCCAAGTGTTTCAAAGAATGTTTGAAGAAATCCAGAGAAATAAGCAATTTTAACTAATGACACGAACCGTGTCTATAGTGTCATTTTGCTTTGCCTGCTAATGACGTCATACATTCCGGTTTTGTTTTGTAGAAAACATGGAAACACCAAAGACACTTTAATATGTTATGCGTTTTATTACACAGGTGACGACCGCACAGAGTAGCATTATAACAGAACTTTCAAATGTATCTAGTATGATAAAACAGAGATGCTTTACTCCACATAAGCACGACCGGAAGGAGCAGAAACGCTCGACTGTGGCATAATAAAAGCTCCGCTGCTTTTGAGCCGTGTGTCACACTCGTTCAGCGGCCTTATTTCGCTTTCGATGGCTTTCAGCCTCACCCTGCTTCATACTATGACGTTAATAAATCTTTAATACATTAGCTCATTCATGAACATGACTTCTGCCCAAGTCCCGTTGGATTGCATCGGCTGTGGGGATGAAGACGACAACTCCCATGATTCCACACTCAGTCACGGCATCATCAAGCTACGTCTTTGTTTCTTTGTTTGTTTTGAATACACGCCCTCTATCGGCGAAAACTTGCATATTGTGCCTTTAATTAATCTTTGAGGATTCATATTTAATGGGTATTTTGGGTGACTATTCCTTATTACTTATTGGGTTAGTTCATTCAAAAATGAAAATTCTATCTTAATTTATTCACTCTCGTTTCATTCCAAACTCACAAGACTTCATTCATCTTGCTAATTTACACTGAACAAAATTATAAACGCAACACTTTTGTTTTTGCCCCCATTTTTCATGAGCTGAACTCAAAGATCTAAGACTTTTTCTATGTACACAAAAAGCCTATTTCTCTCAAATTATTGTTCACAAATCTGTCTAAATCTGTGTTAGTGAGCACTTCTCCTTTGCCGAGATAATCCATCCACCTCACAGGTGTGGCATATCAAGATGCTGATTAGACAGCATGATTA